GGTTTTTGTGTTTTTTTTATAGAAGCATAATTGAGACTGGACTCAAGAAAACAAAGGTCGGGCAAGATTAAGAAATTCTGGATACAATTTTTCATTTCAAAAGTTCAGACAAGATCGAATTTTAATATGGTTGTGTTAATACTTGACTACTATTATATTATTATATATCAATAGTATTCGATTGTATGAAAAACAACATTACATTGCAATGTAAAAGTACAACATTTATGAATAATCAAAGCCATATTAATTCTAATATAAAAAGACCCAAACACACTGAATATAACAAAGCATGTTACTCTTCTTATATATATTGTCTACATTGTCTATTCAATGCGATAATTTGAAAAATTACAAGACGTACAATTACTTGGAGATTATGGAATGTGTACACACAATCCAAATATCAAGTAAAAATAAAGTCCAAATGATTACAGGTCTTAAGCATTTGTACGAACAAGTTTACGCTTACAATGATATTATGAAGAACCCACCACAACCTTCTTTCGACTCTGAATACTACAAACCAAATGACTTGATTGCTAGAATGGATAAATTGGACATGACAGATGGTGAACTCTACCCCTTTTACTATGAACTCAAACAAATCATTAAAGACGCTTACGACCTGCATTTATCAGTCAATTTGAACTCAGTGAATGATAAGAAAAATAAATATATCATTGACAATATATTCTACTTCCTTCCATTCAACTTTAATATTGATGAGAATAAAAACACTCGTTTGAGTGTGGCAAACATCTCACCGGAAATACTCACAGACGACATGTCTGCAGAGATAGCAAAGCATGCCACAGAGTCTGTTGTCTCAATTAATGGAGTTACTCCTCTTGAATTCATTAGAACTTTTGCGAATAAAAATGTTGGAGTCAAGTCACCAAGTGGACGATTTTCATATGCACAGAGTTCAATGACACTCTCTTCTTTGAACTATAATCCCCTTACCGAAGAAGAGTTGTCCACAACCTTTGAAATTAAGTACGAGAGTGGTGATATAGTGAAAGCACCTTATTACTTCTTGTACGTCTCAACGAGTTCTCTTTCAGAAAGTGCACAAAAGAGATTAAAAACACATGACATTGGGTCAAATTACTCTCCTCTTAAATTTAAGGACCTCATGCCTGAGGAAAAGACAAGAGAAAATGGCAAAAGAAGTGATCAAGAAGGTGCATTCAAATTTGACTTTGAAGACATTACAGGTGACTACAGTTGCAAGACTTATAACGACAAAAAGATTAACGTGTTGGTGTTAAAAAGCTTTTCCATGAGTAATGTACTTGCTTTCTATTCGGTGTCAAATACTCTTTTAAAATGTGCAGAACAGTTTGATAACAATGATTACCCCATTGCCGTAATTCTTCCACTCAATGGAGGGGGTTTCATTAATCTTGGGTTGGATGTTGAGAAGTTCTTATCACCACACAGCGACACTGAAGTAATAACTTCAGTTCGTTCAAGTGATATGTCTGGTCAGGTATTACTTGCAGGAACTGCTGAAGCTTTTCTTAGTCCAGAAAACTGTGAAAAAAGGTACATAATTGAAAATGGAAGTGGAGACTTAGGAGACTGGTTCTATAATTACCAAACTATTGACTATGGAAATGGAGTCTTGCACTATAGAACACAACCATCTTATTACCTCCATGGAGCTTTAGTCCAAATGAATTTAACAAAACATATCCGAAAGCCACAGGATATCGTCGTCTTCACAGACTCTTTCTGTTACTCCACTTGTTCTTTTTTCACTAAAGGGTTGGTTGAAAGAGGCGAAGCTATATTAGTAGGATTCAGCGGAGACCCCGAAGGAGATATAGAACACTTTGATGTTGGACAAGCACCATCCAGTGTCATCCAAGCAGGTGACATTAAAGACGATGAGCAACAAGCACTCAAAAAGATGGGGGTTTCTGCTGCTGTGACATACTTTGAGACATCTAAATTCCACTATGACTTGAAGGAGACTATACCCCGAGAATATATAGCAGACCGAGTCGACGAGAGAGTTAACTTATATACCTACACTAACGACAAAACTGATACTTTCATGGACAAAGCTCTCGAAATCATTGAGAAGTACAAGACTCAGTGTAACTCGCACAACAAGAGACTTGTTAAAGAAACAAGTGAGTGTGATAATAAAATGACCATTAAACACGCACATGGTGGATACGTCTGTGGTGATGACAACAAGTGGACTACAACATGTGTCGCTTCGTACTGTGATGAAGGCTATAAATTCGATTATTATAATCAAAAATGTATTGAAGATGTATGTAACCTCCCTGAAAATGACGATACTTGGATATGGATCACTGTTGGAGTTGTGAGTGGGGTATTCGTGTTGATTGTCTTCCTCATTCTTGTTGGTGTTATTGTCTTCTTTGTAATGAAGAAGAAGAAGAGCAAGTCTCAATACACTGGTTTAGCTTAATTGACTTATTAAACAAAATTCTTCTCTCATAAACACTTAATTTCCTTAAGATGTAACGAAAATGTCAACAAACACAAAAAGAACTGAATGTAAACCTCAATCTCATTATTGGAACAACTTTTTAGTCACTTCAAAAATAGTGTCGTACACATAGTCAGCACATGTAACCAAAAGACTTGGGTTACTACTTTTGAAGTAGGCCTCTGCTTTGTTTGCTTGAGCAAAGTATCCATTTTCAAGTAACCAGTCGATTCCCCTCCGAATAGCTTCTCTTCCTTTACTTGGCCCACTCTCTTTTTCAATGTAGTTGACTCCATTACTTGTTTTACTTTCAAAATAGACTCTTTCGTTCAACAAAAACGCGATGTCCTCTCTGATCTTCATTTTAACGTCAAACACGCCAACTTTCTTCTCACACTTTTTGTCGCCAGCTTTGTTATTTTCTTTCACTGTGGAACACTCTGTATATTCCACACTTGCTTTACCACTCTTGAGATGAACCCCAAACCCATCTCTTTCAAAATAGAGTGTTGCATTTCCCGTTAAAGTGCCTTCATAATTATCAACACATAACACATACAACACTTCATCTTGCAACCCAACGTTATGTGGAATATACCCCTTAACTTTGGCAAAGCACTGCTCCTCGCTTTTGAAGCTCAATAAGATGACGTCAACTTTGTTCTTCGAGTCTATGTCAAGCACTTGATATTGCACTTTGTCATCCTCCAAATAACTCTCCACAGCATATCCAACTCTTTCCATCGCCTTCACTTCAATGTTCGTGATGTTCTCAATCTGTTTGATGGTGTCGGTTATAAGGGCAGTCCCCACCTTCCACCCTTTCTTCACAAATTCCTCATTCGTCTTAAATTTGAGTTCTAAGTAATTCCTCAAAGTCGACACAACAACTAACTCCCCGTCTTCGTGCCCACTCACATAGTCCATAACAAGCTTCTCGACATTTGAAAAGTACGCACCAACAGTTTTGTTGACGACGTCTTCTTTGGGAACATGACACCCGTCAATAACCTTGTTGTCTCCAATCCCCAATTTCTCGACTAGCAATTCGTCGATTTTAGTCGCGCAATCAAAAACGTCGGCGTTGCTCTTCTGAACGTTCGTTTGCTCTCCAATGAGTACCTTTCTGTGGAAACTTCCTTTGTTTAAAACAGTCCGAGAAGTCTCCTCGTAAAAGGTCGAGTTCCCGTCAGTTGTTCGAACAAAAAATGAGACTGTGGTGGTCATCTCACTCTCAAAGAATACTGCAGAGAACCGTGTTTTGGGGTTGACTGTTCTTAATATCTTCAGATGGACCAACTCGGGGTCCAACTTGAAGTAATTGTCAAAGACAATAAGTTGCGAAGGGTACACTGGGGGAATTAAAAATGGGGCATAGTCTGGAAAGTAACTTCGTAAATACAACATGAAGAAACTCAGTGGCGGCAAGTCGACTTTTTTATATGAAAAGGTTGGGTCAAGCTTATATGGGACTTCTAATTGTTCTAAAACATCCTTTTGAAAGGGGTTGTTCGTCAGAGTTGATAAATAGTATCCTCCATCCTTTAATGAGTTACTCACTTGTAAAAGAAACCCGCCATCTGGCGTTGATATAAAGGTGTCTTCAATATAACTCAGACCAATACAGAGTTGAATCAGTATCAAAATCAACATCAATGTCATTAATAGTTCTTATTAATTTCCTTTTAGATTTAATTAAAAAAAACTGAAAAACCAAAAATAAATAAATTATTCATGTTTTAGTCTATTGTTTATTTTATTACACCACAAAATTGCATTATTAAACTAATGAAATTAATTAAATTACTTTAAAAAGAACAATTATAGATTTTTTATTTCCTCTTTTTATAATACTAATATAGTATATTATTAATAATAAATAGTATTAATTTGATAATTTTTTTAATCGCAATTTATAATATTTGAAACAAAAAATATTTGAAGGAAAAAAGTGGAAGAATTCTAAGAATAGAGTAGATGGAAACAAAAAAAGAATAGATAAAATAGATACTTAACTAGAAAAGCATGTTGAGCACACAACCTACTTATGAACCGTTTGTGCTTGGGTTGGGATCGACACAAAGCAGCGAACAAAAGGACTGTCCAAAACAAATTCCTTCGTTTAATACAAAGCAGTCTCGAAGTGACTCATCTTCTTCTACTTGTAAAATGACTATTGGACTGAAAGGAAGCCCACAGAAAACTGGTTCAGAAGAGAAGACAATTGAGTATGAAGCGGAGAAAGACCATTATAGTGAACAAAAAGGTGGACAGACTCAGTGTGTGAAAGAAGACAAAGAAACAACAGAGAAAGATGAAAAAGAGTATTCTAAGTCATATGTTGAGGTTCTTGAATGTCAATTAAAGAAATATCAAGAGATTCCTTGGATATCTGAAATAAGAAAAAAGAGGGAGACCGAAGACTTGGCACTTTTACTTGGTAAAATGTACGAAGAGTACTGCAACGTGGTCAACGAAAACTTATTACTCGAGATGAAAATTAATGAATTGCAGGAACAACTGAACTCAATAAAAACGGTTCACCAGCTCGTGAACAGATTCAACTCGATTCAAAAGAAGAGAACTAATGATTTTGTCTCAGTCATCAAAAACAGAATTAATTTAGAGCATCCTCTCCAACAAACTTCTCCCACTTCTCTTCATGATGACACCAAGTAGTTTTTCTTCACTTCAAATAGCATAGAAAACACTTTAAGCCTCATTTTTTGTAGTTTCTATTTTCTTTAGTTTCTCAAATGAACACGATATCTACTCTATTAATAAAACTATTCAATTTGAAGTATCAAACTATAATTTAACTATAAATGTATTTCTATTTTTGAGCTATCAAACCCTTCTTTGTTGTCGACTCTTAAGAAATTGAAGAACATCAAGTTCTTGATAAACACAATTGAACCAAACGAAGAATAACATTAAAACAGTGTGATAAATCAATTTAATTCCTTGATAATGACACTTCCGCCCTTGTGTGCGAAGAAGTGGAAATCGATATCTCTTGGGAGGTCGAGTGTGTTTTTGACAAAGCCGACAATCTCTCTCAGCTCGCTCTCGCTGTCTGTTGACATCCACACAAATATTTTTGCAAAGCTTCGAAGAGAAAAGGATACGCCGTTGATCTTCTCGCGGTGTTCGAAAGTCTCGCCTATGCACGTTAACATCAACCGAAGCCACACGTCCTCTGCAACCTCTGCTTTTTCGGGTGTATTCACTGGCATATTAAATACAAGTTTGCCGCCATTTTCAGTCGTTTTTGGCTCGACATCTTTTCTAAAGAAAAAGGAGTCGATACCCTTTGGAAGAGTTGTTTGTTTTTCAAGGCTGTCGTAAAGCCCCCAGAACTCTTCAACTGAATGGACATTAAATATAGGAGTCGCGGTGACTCCTGATGTCGAAAAGACTTGGTTTGTCCCCGGGTCAAACCAATACGTCCAACCCGTTTGGAGGAGGTGGAGTGGGATAATTTCTTTAGCTTTTGTCATAGTAATATGTTATTCAGTTCAAGTTCTTTTTCTTGGAATGGTTGAATTGTACTAGTTAAATACTAGTAAAGTTGAATACCATTAGTACTATAGCTTTAATTGTTTTAATAATTAAAATGGTTTAGATATATTAGATAGTATAAAAACTATAAAAATAAATTATAATATTTAATTAATTAAATTTAATTAATAATTTAAAATAACTAAATGCTAAATTATAATTAAAATAAATTAATAATGAATAATTAATAATATTGAGTCTAAAAATACGACTAGAATGTATCGACTAGACTCTATTTTTTACGTTCATGATTTGATATTGTTGATGATTAAAAAAATTTGGTAGTACATACAAAGTAAAAAAAGAAAGAATACAATTATGGCTTATATTGCGAAAGTTGCTCGAGGAACCCTGAATTGGGAGATGCACAAGTTCGTTTCTCTTTGACTCTTTGAAGAGCATCCTCGAGCGGCAACGAATTTTTTTTCATCAAGTACGCCACGACAAGGGAAGCGGAACGACTGACCCCTTGTACACAGTGGACTAAAACGTTTCGTTCAGTTGAAACAAACTTGTCGATGAAGTCGAACGCTGGGAGGAAATAAGGAGAGATGGTATCAGATGGCATATCCCCACAGTCTATAAAGTAATATTCGACCTTCTTACTGACATACAAAGGTTTTGTACCAATCGAGAGTACGCCCTCGATCTCAAATTCTCGTAGAGATGATTTCACTGAAGCTTGCACTGAGCCCAAATACAAATGAGGAAGAATACAACTTGGTATAACTTGAGAGAATGGTGTCCAGAAGTCTTTTAAATAGATTGGGTTCATGTGTAATATGGTCGTGATGCGATTTCCACACACATTCAATTTCTCGATCGACCGCAAGGGCGCCAAGCAGTCGTAGTCGAATTCCTCGAGTTTGTTCCAACTCAAGTCCAATTCACTTAACGAAGTCAATTTGGAGATTTGTTCCAAAGGAATTGCGTCGATTTGGTTGAAAGAAAGGATCAGTGATTTGAGAGTGACCAACTGACTTAAATTTGTGAATGAAGTGATTTTGTTGTTTGATAAGTTCAAATACGTCAGTGATGTCAGTGAGCCAAAATCGTTTGTTATTTGTGTGATTTTGTTATAGGACAAGTCGAGTGTGTTTAAGTTCGTGAGTATTTGTAACGATGGTGTAAATGTGAGGATGTTGTCTATAGCAAGTACTGTCTTCACATTGACTGAAGTGATTTTCTTAGTGTTAGATGGTTGTTGTAATGAAGTTCTAATGAACAATAGAAGAATAAATAAGAGGGACAAACGTGTTGTTTGATATCACAGGAGATGAATTTTAATAACTTCCCGTCGCTGAGCTTCTTCTTCGAAGCATTCACATTATGACCAGTCTTCATATTGCTATGAATTACAGAATTAAAGTTCACCAAAAGGTTTGTAATTCATTAATTTTTTAACCCAATTTCCCGTCTTATTTCAATTGTTGAAACCTAATAAATACAACACAAAAAGTTGTTTTACTCAACTTGGTGGTTTGAATAAGTTGTATATAGTTAATTATACTATAATTTTATTATAATCAATTGTATTGGTAGTTGTGAATATTCAAAAGACTATTTTGTCATGTGTTTTTTTGATTCAACTTGGTGAACAAAAAAAACTATAAAATATAGTAAAAAGAATTAGAAATAAATGAAAAGAAGAATCAAATGAAGTGGATGGCAAAAGAGGAGATGAAGAGTGTAATGCCGACAAGGTAAACAATCAAAGACTCTTTTTGTGAGTAAAAAACGAAGTATATAATATATAGTATTTAAAACTAACATTAACAAACTATTGTCGTACAAGTTTGAGAAGTCTGGGAAGCCAAGGTAATTACAAAGAGCATGACACAACACACAACTTATCACAGACTTTGTACAGAAATAGACATACGACGAAAACATGCCAAATAGTGTTGTAAACATCACTTGGACTATGGCGGTGACTACTTTCTTGGTATCAATAACACTTTCTGTGATAAGGTGGTGGAGGTGTGCCAACCCAAAGAGTGTCGAGCAGTAGACAAACGCGAATTTCTGTCCCCATCCATGTGTCATCAGAAATGGTATAAAAACGCCTCTAAAAAGGGTTTCCTCAATGATCGGTGCTGCTATCACAATACGAAGAACAGCAACTTTGTCGTCGAGAGACATGACATAATCCGTGCCCTGACTCACACAATAGAAAAACCCTGCAAAGAGAACCAAAATTTGTGTGATATGAAAAAGTGTTTGTAGTACTGGAACATTGAACTCAATGTGCGTATTAAGTACTAATGAAGCCATCGCCGCAACAATAACCCCAACAAGAAGTCGTATCAATATGCAACTCGTGTTGTCTTTGACGTATTTATTAACTATATTTAATAATACTATAAGCACATTTGTAACTAGAAAGGTAATAAACAATGCACTCCACTCGCTGGCCTCCATCTCTTCATTTAAAGTTTTTTATTAGTAATTATAATACTATTTTATACTATAGAGTATAAGAAATGTTATCATTTTTTTTTCAAGTATTTTTATATTATAAAAAGGTAAAATAATTATTTATAAATAAGTTAAGTTGTAAATATCAATATGAACTTTGTTATTATTATTAATAAATTAACACTATAAACAATATTAAAGAAAAAAACAAGTGGTTCAATAATCAAGGAAATTTGAAGTTTATCAAATATTTTCCCATTTTTTAGAAGTTTATAATGTGTTTTACTTTACATATACCAAAAAAATCAAAAATGTATTTATATCTTGGTGCAACAGTTTATTAAAATATAAAGCTTTATTTTTAGTTTTAACACTTAAGACTTATGACTGGATGGCAAAAAATCGGTGGATAGCGGAAATAGAACACATTTATTTCTAAATATAAAATATTTTTTTTATTTATTTTTAAAAACATTGATTGACAACATATTACAGTCCCTCAAGCTAGCCTTATGGGAAAAGCTTGCCTTCTGGAAATGTTTTTCATTAATTCTAGTTTATTTGTAATTTTAAAATAACAAAAATATAGTATATTTTGAATGTGTTATTTATAACTTGTTTAATCCATGCGCTTGCCTTATGGGATTTTATTTTTGGAATTTACCACTTCATCGTTGTTTTTGGCTAATCTACTGGAACTTCATTTCCCAATTCTTCAAGTTCCATCATGGTAAAAGGTCTTCTAATACCATTGTTGTCAAAAAGCGGCATTGATAATATTTCTAGGTCATATTTTGAAACGAATTTGCTGTTCGTTGTTCCAAAATCTAAATAGCTACTAAAATTATGCTGTTGGAAATCAGGTGATAGTCTAAGATTAAGCTGTAGTTGTCTTTTTTGTGGCAAATCTAAAGGCAATCCGATATTAAGTTGTGGTGAATTTTGAAGTTGGTTATATATTCGAAAACCGACCTCGAAAGTCGGTTGTAATGTATTGTTGATCTTCGTCCACACGTCTTTTGCGTCGACAATAGTTTTTTCATTGGCTATAATGGCAGTTGTCATGACGACATTTTCGCGTGGTGGCGTCAATTTGTCAATTATGACATCACTCAAAATTGGAATCACCAATTTATGAACCAAAGATGCATGTTTAATATCAACGTACACTTTTATAGAGTGGTCTTTTATGATAGATACATAACATGCTCTAGTAAAAGAAGCAATTATATTCTCAGAAGTCGTCTTTTGATATATCGAACGAAGTACTTTAGAAATCTGGCTTGTAACTCTGGCTCCCCATTGTGCTCTTTCCTTTTCTATTGCTTTCGTAGAAATGGGATCCTCAAGAGACTTAATCCATTCAGAAAACAAACAACACAGTTCATCATTTTCTTCGTGACATTCGGTTCCTGCCGTTTGATTGGTTGTTGGTATTTGTAGTCTTTTAAATGTTGTGAATATGGGAACTTGTGTTGTTGCATTCTTTTTTACAATTCCAAACAAACACAAATCAAGTGGTTGAGTGAGATGACTACTATGTGGAACTAAAAAATGTATGTTGACGTGGTTACATTTAAAAATTTCAATCAAATCACTATCAAAATGAGCTTTAAAATTATCCATGAATATCACCGACCATGTTGTTTCGTTGAGTTTCAACTTTTTACGTTTTTCAACGATATACTTCAACACGCTGTCATACATCCAACTACAAAATATAAACCTGTTAACAAATCCCGTGTTGGTAAAATAAATCTTGACTTTGGGGTAATTTAAACAAATGTCTTCTCCAATGTACTTGTTTGGAATTACTATTGCAGGAGAACAGAATTTACCCGAAGCGGATATACACGATATAACAGTACTTCGTTTTGATGAACGTGAAATTCCAACATTCGTTGTTGTCGTTTTATCATCAACAAAAACTCTTACTTTTTGAGAGTCAGTCCATTCATTAAATCCTATTTCGTCTATATTATAAAACAAAGCAGGATGTGTTCCATTCCATTCTGAAATTTTAATGTAATTATCCAACAAGTCTTTTGGGTTGCATTCCAACCTTTTTAACTCTTCTGGTCTAGCCATAGTGGTTGTTTTGTGGTGAAATTGTTTAACATGATTCACTATTCCATTTAAAGAGACGTCGAAATAAGGATTGAATTGTTGGCATATTAAATCAACAACATGTGGTGTAGCAACAATTGATTTTGCATTACAACATTTAAACATCTGACTGATTGCTGCATCCATTTCAAAGGTAAAATGACTTGGTCTTCTTGGTTGTACCTATTTTTGGATTAAATGATTATGAATTGCACCATCAGTCAATCCGAACAATATGCCAATTGTTGCTTCTGAAGCTTTAAATTTATTTCTTATCATTTTTATTTGATCAACTTTTGTTTGACACACAAAATAATCAGGACTTAATTTTAATAAAAGATCTTTTGCTTTGTTTATAACTTTTAAAGAAGCCAGACGTCTATTTTCACTTGAAATAATACATTTTTTGATTTCATCTAAACTTAATGCTTTTACTCGCGTTGTTTTTGTTTTTTGAAGCTCGAAATCAATATCTAAAGTTTGGTTGTGGATTTTTTGTACAACAGCTTCTGTGAACGTTTTATAGTCATGATCAAAATCCATTTGTTTGATTTATTCGAGATCTATTTTTATTAAATCTTAAAATATCACTGATTTTCAAAACATTGTTCTCAACAATATACTATTATTTATTAATTTGTTATAATAAATAAAACTATTTTACAAAAACAATCCCATAAGGCTAGCTTTTTCCATATAGCTAGCTGTGATTACTGTAATTGGTTTCAGTTTACACATAAAAGATATTTTGAATTACCCAAATTCGGTTTATTATGAAAAATGTAGTATTATTTTTATAGATTATTTAAATTAACCACTTTTTTAGTTGTAAAATTTTCACAATATAAACTTGTTACAATACAATGGTTTTAAATAATTATTTAATTTAAATATAGTTATAATTGTTGTTTAAGGGACAAATTTACACAAGCATAAATAACAACGTAGAAACAATAACGTGGTTTATAATTATTTTGTTTTAATTTGTTTTTATTCAATAGTTTACACTTATATGTTATTCAAACAATTAAAAATAAAACATACTATTGATTTTCCTGTTTAGAATCAAGTGTCATGTTTACTACACCTTTTTATTGTTATTTAAACTGTATTGGTGTTGTTACAGTTTGATTTTGTGTGTTATTAAAAATTTTAATTAAAAAATTGATTAATTTTGATTGTTTGTATCAATAAACAATTATTTTGTTCATAAGGATTTTTATTGAAGTTTTTTAACTCTTTGACACCGAGCAAATTTATTTTTATATATCTTATGTTAAAATGTTTTAGAGCAATAAGTTGGTAATAAAAATTGTTGTAAACAAATATATACTCTTAAACTTGGTTTAATGTTTAATGATTTTTGTTTAAGGTATTGTGTTTAAATTCATAAGTTGCCTTATATTATATTTGGACTTTTCGAAATGAAAGTTTAGTTATTGACAGTGAAACTCTTTAAATCAACTAACTTTAAATTATTAAAAATTATTATTCAATTAGTGGCTCCACTTAATTCTTTTATTAATGTTGTTGTGTTTATAAAATACACGTGATTAATCTTGTTTGTTGTATTATAAAAATAATAAAAAGTTAGTAAAATAACAAATTTACATAATTTTGATTATATGTAATTATGAACAAAAAGTCTCGGAAGGAAAAATGCGACCACATTATTAAGTTACACAATAAAATCAATCACAATGAATTATTTTTTCTGCTTTAAAAAAATGTCACACAAATAACTTAAATTTTACCATTATTAACCCTTAAAAATAGCGGTTTTAATTATTTATAAAACAAAGTTATCGACATGATTAAATGTTTAAATCAATTAATAATAGATATACAATATTGTATATATAAATGTAATTTTCAGTTAAATAATGACTTTTAATGACATTGTTATTCTCTATTATTCATTGTAACTATTGTGTAAATTATTTGACATATTGTTAAAACCAAAAATATAATAACCAATTGTTATCAATTTTATTGTGTAATTATTTGGAGGTTTTCAATTATCATTCAACATATTTTGTTGAGAATCACATTCAAGTGAGACATCAAATACAATTATTTTTTCTTAACTATTGTTTTATTGTTTTTCAAAATACAAAACACAACAGTAAATATATGTATTTCTATAATACCACAAATATCACAATCAATTAAGACGGAGGCACCTATTTAATAATAATAATAATATTATTAATTTAATAACAACATTTGGTGTATTGGGTTTTACTGTTATTTGTTAACAGTAAAACACTTTCATTTGAAAAACAGCCTAAAATTAAATAGTGGTAATTGTTAAATTTGCAAATATGAAACATAAAACTAAAAATTCAAAATGTAACATCAATATCAAGAGAATAACACAATTTAAAATATTTTTAGGTTCCGACTTGTGGCTAATATATACATACACATAATATATTACAATCAATAGTCTAAGGGAAATCAACACATTTAATTAATAGACAACTACTTTACAAGTGGTAATCGAATTCAACAATTACATTTGTATTGACATTATTGTATATATTTTATTTATAATTGAAAATGCAGTCTTTTGAATGTTAATTAATGTTGTTAATGAAGCATATATAAACTGTATA